GTAGGCATGGAACATCATAGAGAAGATGCATCAATCCAAATTTTCGAATACCATCCGCAAGCTAACAACGTGCTGGTTACCACTTTTGTATTCCGACTGTCTGGAATAACCGAAGTCGTCCTGCACCAGCACACCGAGGTCAAGTTCCTGAGGGCTTGTCTGCAGGTCAAATGCACCAATATTCTAGAGATAGGCGTGTCTATGGCGGATGTGGACAATGTGTCACTTGACCACATTTAATAGCAGTGAATTCCTCACCGGTTAATGCCAGGTCCCATCTAGGTCGCACATAAGGGAGCTTGTGGTCGTCCATTCTCTTGATCCCCGGCCAACTTTTAACGTCATCCGGAAAAGTAAAATTTTTGAGGTGACGGCTCTCGCAAGATCGTCACACTCCACTCGATTAGAGTCGGGCAGAGATGTTCGGTCCCTAACATAGAACTGCTGTTCACGGAGAAAATTACCAACCCATCCTAATAATGCATTGCTTACGTTTTCCAAGTCGCCCATCATTACGTCAGCGATGCTCGCTTCCATGACTTTGGAAAGTGCAGAGAGAAGTATTACCGGACGGTAATTGGTAGGATCAGACGGACTTCTCTGAAAGAATCCGCCAAGTGGCTGGGCTAGGTAAATGGCTGCTGCCTGCAGTTCTTTAGGGTGAAAGTTATCCAAGGATGGTAGCTTTTTCAGAACCACTTTTGCTATGACTTTGATGCTGGATAACACTGATGGTGTTGGGACAGAAGCAAGCATAAGGTTTGACGCTGGTATCCCTTGGAAAGTAGGCCAGTACTGGGCAATAAGGGGTTGTCCGCCTTTTTTGTTGTGTGTTTATACCCACCAATCGTACTGTGTGGTGCGATTCCACGCTGCAACTTTCAAAGTGCATTCACGTGTCTGTAAATAAGACTGTGGTTCGAACGGTATTGTTTCGCTTGCTCCAGTGGGTGTGATAACCTGTTTTCACGAACCAACTGTATATATTAATTGCTCAGATCTACGTACGCTGTCTCATTCTCCGCTTCAGGATGGTTTATGTGAAGGCGGCATGTGTTCGTCCAAGACCATAACTGTTGATATTTGGCTTCTCATGAATAATGTTGGTTTCATGTGATGGTGGAAAATTTTTGCTCCGATGCTTCGGTTACTAGTGATGTGGTTTTCAACCATTTCTCCTGGACTATCTCTAGGGTGCACTCAGTCATGTATATCCAACTGGCATGCTAAAAACACAACGAAAGGCTACGATCACAGAATTGTAAGGTTTGATTTCATTCGCTACGACGAATACACCGATGCAGAGCCCGAAAAATGCAATGTATTTCTCATTATCTGGTTCTGTCCGCATTCGGAGCAAAAATCTTCCACCATCACCTGAAACCAACATTATTAATCAGAATCCAAATATAAAGAGTTATGGCGCTGGGGGAACATGGTCGTCAGGACGTGAGTGACACAGTGAGAGCAGCCTGTCACCGTTCGCATTCGCTGAACCAATGCCAAGCGGACCAATGACATCTGTCCACACCGATGCATCACGCCCAAGGTGCGCGTTGAAATCACGCAACAGGAATAGTCGGTCACTCATCGGCACAGACTGTATCACGGAGGATAGCTGAGTGTATGATTGCTCGGGCCTGTCATCAGAATAACAAACGGTCGGACCGTACGTGCTTGTAAAGGTGGCCAATTTACCTCTTCCGAGTCCTAGACAAACAGTCATCAATCGCGCGCAGCTGCCTGCTGATTCACCAACCAGGTAGTCATTTAGGCGATCGGATATGGCAAATTCGACCCCATGTTCACGTGGTGCTGAGGCGGCATCAGCCACCCAGTAGAACGTGCAGCCAGAACCAACTTCATGCAACTTACCTTTCTTAGCGGACCGAGTCTCACTGAGCGCCGCAATATCAATTTGGTAGCGCGCCACTTCTATCGCAACCAGTGCAGTGTGTTACTGGGGGCGCTCACTCGAGTTCCGGTCCAGTAGTGTGCGCACGTTCCAGCACCCGATGCTGAGTGCTTTGCGCACAGGCATAATATTGCGTTGGTGGGCAATCGCACGCGATATGGTCGTTGTGCTTCGGAGGCTTGCTTGAGAGACTCCACCCGGAGCCTTTGGCTCAATAGCCTGACCCACAATGCAGTGGGTGGTTTGGATGTTTGCTTGAGGGACTCCGCCTGTAGCCTTTGGCTCAATAGCCTGACCCACAAGGCAGTGGGGAGCAAATCCAGCTCGGGAATGTGATTGCAGAGACAGATTGGGATCGGCTTGACCGCCGTCACACGCAGCCTTTGAGGTACTGGAATGATTGATATATATTTTACGACCGCAGTAGGATACACCTGCGACCACGGCCAGACGCAGGTGGGTTTTGGCGGGTTTGCGTCGATTTAACCAGGATCTGCCTGGTTTGAGGCGGGCAGTAGCAAACTATTGAACACACGGAGGTGCCCTTCCACCGTCAGAGACAATGCGTGGCGCTCCTGCACTACGCGAATCGAGCTGTGAGCTTATAACAGGTAGAATTGTTGTCTCCCATGGCTAGGTTTTACGGGAAGAGGGCCATCCCCCACTTCCTAAACTCCGAAGAGTATGTACTAGGATACTGGCAGGGCGCCAAGACCTGACAGGAGAACGACTCGGGTCCTCAGCCAAAGCATTCGATTAAATGTACACCCGGAAGGCAGCGGGTCTAGCACATGGTCACTTCACTGACTCATTCCGATTGGTTTCTTGGATCTTAGCAGGGCGAAGGGCGACACCCAACTCCCACTCAACGGTCGCCAGGACATGAGCCCATGGCACAACAGTAGCAGCCGTGGGCGGTATCGTCCAGAATACACTTTGCGTTTTGGGGGTTAGATCGTACGAAGCCTTTGACCTGCTGCGTTTATTGGTATGCTGTGGATGCGTCCTGGACGCCTGGCAATCGCTTGGTGGCAGTAGGCTTACCCCCTTCTTTCCAAAAACCAGTACACGCACAATTTTTGCTTATTTCGTTTCACTGAGTTATTGTGCATGGCCCGCTGTCTTTCGGGTGTGCATTTTAAGGAGGGCTGTATCTGTGGTCTCTGGTTGTTTTTCTGTCAGATTTGGCCGCCCTGGATGTAAGCTGGGCAAACTTCAACCACAAATCACACTAATAGTCGGCTATCGCTCAGTTGCTATATGAAAATGGTCACCTTATCTACTGCATTCGGTTTGGTGGGTAAGTGAAAACACGCTACCGCTAACGCCTCCCTTTTTGTCTTCTCCCGCACTTACTCTCTTCGCCGTTATTTTGCCCAACCCACTAGTTTCTGCAGTCCAGGTATCGATCCCTACAATTTTCCGCCAGCGCAGTCGTATGCCTCCGTGCAGAGCGCTTAACATCTGGTGCTGAAACTTGCGCACACATCACTAGACCGCAACCCGAGTGAGTGTCCCCGGGGGACGCACTGCACTGGTTGCGATGGAACTCGTGCGCTACGGGATCGCCATAGTAGCTCTCAGTTAAACTGGGCTCACTGATCAAAGCAAGCTGCTTGAGGCTGGTGCGAGTTACACGTTCTACTGGATGAATAACGTTATCACATTAAATGTGAAGTTATAGGGTCCCATGCACTGCTCGCACCGGCAAACCTCAGCGCCAATAGATCCGTCTAACTTATACGCCCAGATTAGAATTGCCTCTCTACGGCTCTCCGTTTGACTCATCCAGGGAGCTCTCGGCTCAGCAGCGAGTTTCTCGACCTAACAACTGCACATGTACTACGTATCTGTTAATTGCACATCGTAGCTTGGCTGAATCAATTGATTGTGAATCTAGAGTCCGTGTCACCACGCGAATCACGCGTTGGTTTACTTGGCATGACGTAGGTTTTGTGTCAGCGAAACGTTGCCCTGCAGCTGCACTAACCGGTTGTTTTCAAACCGGTTTGTAATATCTATAACTCACGTTTTTCTGGTGGTGGTCGTGTGTCAGCGAAACGCCGGTTCAGCGCACTGCCATGCATGTTCCGTATGCCCATTCATCACTTCTCGGTTGCTGATCACGGTGACATAAGACTTGGGGAGGTGTCATTATCTTAGAACCTGGAAATGAAGCCACTGACCTCTTGACTGAGGCCCGCGAGTAATAATAATGTGTCAGCTGTACGCTGTAACGGCGCTTCTCTGCTGTGCGACCACCACCAGTCGTATTCGGGCTGAGTATACCGCAAGGACGCCCACCCCTACGTGGATTCGAACTTGCGCCACAAGATTACAAGACAAGCTTGTTACCTCTAGGCTACGGGCCGACCGCGGGTATATCTGGAGGACACACGATCCACTCTATCCTTAACCATAAACTTCACAGGAGATGACAGGTGACCACCAACCACAATTACTTCGTTTGTAGTAGTCTCCCAGTCTGAATACCCGTTTAAATCGGGTCCTGATACTGTGTTCTCCGCGAGTTAAACTTGATTATGCTGCAAAGCGATACGAGAATGTCGATGATATTATCTCACAGATATCCTCCAGTCAAACCAAGCTTTATATACCTGATGATAATAATAGGTTGCTTGTGATATTTACTATTTACCACTGGCTTCCCTCCCACATCCCATGTTTCTTCTTTACTGGTAATCCATAATAATTTTATGCTATCAAACAATCTGTGCATGGGGATCGTGTACTACTGCTGCTATTAGGTGTTCCGCAACGCATTGTGACCGTCTTGCCTACCGCTTGGCAACATGCTCGGAGCATCTTTTTGTTTTCCGCAACTTTTTTCCCCTTCGCTTTCTTTGTTCCTCTAACGTAGGTGATCCGTTCAGTTGTGTGTCCATTCATAATGCCAATCATTCGCTGCGGGCCGTTACCACACTTCGATTTTTACTATACACACCGTGTATCTGAATTACCAGCTCAATTACGTATGTATGTTAGCAATTTGCAGTCTAAAACACATCGTTTATTATTACACGACCAAACCTTTTATCCTCTTGCTCTACGCTCCTATGCTCAGCCTGTTTTGGACGGCGGCTTCTCAAACAATCTGCTCTGTCTGGACCGCATGACTATTACTGTCAGTCCCTTTACCGGTGAGGCCGATATTTGTCCCATGAACGCTGAGTGGAAATGTGGTTACCGTAATTTGGCTTCACAGCAGGTCGAGGCAGTTTTGGGTACTATCTTCTTTTTCGGCAATAGCTTCCACGTAAATTGGAACAATTTCAAACGCTTTCTCGGCATGCTTTGGCTGCCCGACCCAGAGACGTTTATGAGCTTAGTTACTCAAGGGTATACGGACGCCCTACGCTTTTTAGCCACGCGTGGTGAGTTTCCGTTTAGTCTGACGGTCGTCCAACCGCTGTTTTGTCATGAATGTGTTATTTGGTGGAACGGCTATATCTAGTCTCGCTTACTTTATAGGTTTCATTGCATGCCAACTTCATCGAAATCCCCCACTCTCCTCCTTTATCGTCCGGAACCACGGACGCTCTTCCTATCACCGACTTCGCTACCGTTTTGTCCCCTCTTCTCCGGTCGCCGCATCACTAGCGCCTCCACTGGGAGTCACAGGTAGGGTAGCGATCTCTTCCGAAGCAGTGGCCTCAGATCTTGGCTCAGCCTACTTTTACTCAACCGAAATGATCGGTTCCGGGATCGGCTTGAACGCGCCTCACTGCCTCGCGTGCCAGAATGAATTGCTCGATGCACTTCAATCCAGACTTCCGACTGTCTTACGCACCATCATCATGCAACACCGTAGACCACCACATCAACGGCACGGCACTACGTCCATCCTACGTCTATGCACCAGCCTTTTGACCGCTTCTCGTAGCAGTCTCAGATCGGGGCTCTCACATGTCTACACACTGGGCCGACATATGTTCTTCTCAATGCTGTTTCAGTTGGATGTGCTTGCTCGACTGATCTCCTCGTGAGTCACATGCATGATTTGTGCGATGAACCGCTTCACATTCTTTCGCTACAATGAGTACTGCTATATGTCGGTTTCAAGTTAGGCTTTCTGTCGGTTTTCGTCACAAATTCACGCGATAGTCCCACACTAACCAACTTCCTCATTCATCATTGTTATACACGTTAGCTAGAGATGGGAAACACCTCAGCTACTGTGTCGCAATACATAAAAGACAAAAGGAGGGAAATGCAACAATTGTATGCCAGCGGATCTATCAACAACGGATGGGCATCGTTCCGGAAAGGTACCAGCGGACTACTAGGCAACACGAGAAATTATTATCTAATATTATATTATGTTACGAAATGAGATTGTGGTTGAAGGGGGAGGCTAAAAGGGATGGGGAGGGACGAAGAAACTCACAGCACGAACGCCACTGAGGTCGGTTCCTAGCGATATGAACAATTTTATCCAGCCAGACGTGTTCATCGTCTTTGGGACCCCAACCAGGGAGCCGAGACGCTCCAACCGAGGCCAGCTCAGAAGGGAGGGCCTTCATTCCTCTGGACCAAGTCATCGCTTGGCCACTCCTCCTCTTCTTCCATCCACACCCCCGGCGCACAAACAACGCACGTCGCGGGAGTCGGTGGGATGGCATGCGTAACACGTGGCCGAGCCATCGGAGCCTGATGCGTGAAATAACGGTGCTGAGCGGTTCAGTTCCTTTTCCTGTGCCGCAAACAAGGCGTTAAACACGCTCGTTGCTTACTCGGTGTTCCCACCAGATGTGAGCTAAATTTTGAAGGCACTTGTAATCGAACGTAACTAGCCCCTTTATGTCCGCTGATCTAAGGGGCCAGGTTTCGGAACCGTACAGTAGGGTCGAACGTACCGCTGCATTGTACACTCTGCCCTTCAGGACAAGACTAATGTATCGCCGGCGCCATAGGTGGCGAAAGGTTAGCAAAGGTGCCTCGAGCTTTTGCTATACGGTTCCTGATCTCATCTACAATCCCGCGGGTGCTGATACAACTTCCTAGTTAGTTGAATTTTTGAACGACTTCTATCTGTTCCCCACCAAGGGTCAGCGCAGGAGGCAGTCCAGGCCAAACGTGGAGGAACACTTTGCACTTCGAGGGTGCGATACAATGTGCGAAGTGGTGGACTTCCAGTGCTAATCTGTCCAGTGCCGCTTGGCACGTTTGTGAGCTGTCACAGATGAGGGCAATATCGTCAGCATACTCCAAGTCAAGAAGTCATTCACCTGGGAGCAAATCCACACCTTCTAAGTCTTGTCCTGTAAACGCGATTCCCATGACTTCGTCAATAGCGAAGTTGAAGAGGAAAAGTGAAAGCGGGCATACTTGTCTTACACCGCCGATGATATTACAGGGCGACTACAGCTGGCCGGAAGCCCTCACGCTGCCTGCGCTACGCGCGCATTATTCTCGGGTTATATTTACATATTTCTCGGGTACATCTCTCCTTAGCAGACAGTCCCGAAGAGCACATCTATCAAGCCAATCGAATGCACCCTTGTTATCGTGGAACACGACAACGGTGGACTTCCAATATATGTGACGGTGCTCCAACAACTGACGCAAGGTGAAGATGTGGTCAACGCAGCCACCACCTCGACGAAACCCAGCTTGCTTTTTACGAATCTGGCTTTCACGAGTGCTTGTCAGTCTGTGACGGATGACCGAGGCAAGCAATTTTGAGGCGATGGAGATCAAACTGATTTCTCTATGGTTATGTATTCCGATCGTGATCCTCCCTTTAAAATTGGGACTATGACGGAGCGGCTGCACTCGTTTGGGACAGTTTCCTGCTCCCACAGTTTCACTAGTAGTTCGTGTAAATCATCCATAAGAGCAGGTCCGCCGAAGTTGAAGGGAGCTGGAGAACGATTATCTGGTCCCGCGGCTTTATTTATCTTCAACCGTCCGATTTCACCTTTGAGTTCTTAGCGAGAAGGTGGATCCAAAGAGACAGCCCAGGGTGTAGGGCGATCAGTGGCCGGCGAGAAATCTGACAATTCCGGTCGATTAAATTGCCTTTCAATGGGCTCTGCCCAACGCTCTAAGCGTTTTGTCAAGTAGTGGATAGGTTGTCCACTCTCGTCACGTATAGTTTAACTAACACTAATCAACTTGAAAGAACCCCGAGTTTTTTAACGTGCACCCACACCTCTGTAACATCGGAATATTTGGACCGGTAATCGGTCTGGTAATCAACAACGCGCCATTGCTGCCAGTACTTGTCCAATTACACAACTGTAGACCGAATATGTAACTACTTTGAGTCTACTTAGCGCCACTCTCGTCATCATGTAACTATAGTTTGCATTGATAATGGCCATCAAAAAATTGTAACAGGTTGGTCTGGTAAAGTTCCCTAATGCGAGGGATCGATTGCAGGAGGACCATTGACTCTGCGATTTCACTATGCCTGACAAGTTTGGTTGTTTCGCTCACCTAATACTTAGTCGGGTATCAGTTCTAGTCACTAAACCACCGGGGAGGTTACCGTAAACGCTGATGAGGTCGCATGATTCTTCTGTCCCCTAGAGGAGACACAATGCAGCTGCACGACTTTTGTTGCTGCGTGTTTCGTTGCTTTACATCTGCGGCATCAAGCGACCATTTTTCCCTGATCTCCGGCGCTTTGTCCATGCATCCTATTGCTACTAAGTGCGCGCTGCACATGCACCTCAGTTGCTGCCCAACATGTGACCATTTGGTTCTGCTTTGGGTCCACTGTTTAAGTGCATGGGTTGACTGTACTCCGTGTTCCTGATTTGTATACTAGTCACTCATTTGGGTGTGTATTTCTGACAACCACCGCACTGCAGGGATCAACCAGTCCATGTGCTAGCTCACTGTGTTGTGAAAATGTTGGCTCCAGTGTTTAGCGGCCCTTCTTGACCCCGGCGAACTTTTTCTCTGTCACTGTTACTCTTCTTATGTGGCGATTGATTTTTCCCGATCCGTTATTTGTACACTTTATGTCTCTATTATTCGCCCATTCGCCTCTACCGCAGCTTGTCATTGTTATACTGAAACCGCAAGCCACAACCAATGGACCCGTCTTCTCTCTCTTTAGGGAATCCGCGTTGTCATGATTCAGACAGTTGGTTGGCAATCTCTACACTCCGATCCTGCATGGATTTGCATATCTCTGCAGCATCCCCAGTCCACGTACAGCCGTTTAACAGCGCTGTCTCATTGTTACCGGTTCGTATACTGCGGATACCTTTCACTTCTCTGTTCGGGAGATGGCTGTCCTGTGGGTGTCATAGGTTCACTCGCAAAGCATCCCCGTCCGTGGCACAATTCTACCCTCACCCTCCTCGGTCCGGCTACCATGCATTTAAAACGCTTGTGCAAACGCAACTCTGGCCATTCATGCTTGTAAGTGTATTAGTAGCAACAGTCGGAAACGTTACGTTAATAATCCTAGGCCTACTAGGACCGCTTGTGTGTGTCGTCGTGGGACTCTGCACGCTGCATTCATTACCACGTTCTGGAGTCAAAGACTCCAAACGTGTCCACAGAAACATCGGTCACGCCGACAGAAGCACTTTGCACAGCAATTTACCTGACCCACTACATCGGGACCGTTAGTTGAACCAAGTGAAGCTGATCTCGGATGTTGAAGCCACTGCTCCCTCATCGGTGCCACTCTCTCCTGTAGTATGCTTGCAATAGTGAACTAAACGCGTGAATGGAAGAAGTCAAAAAAACAAACTGCAGGCATTATCGTTTATGGAAAACTACTGGTGCAGCATACATACAGAACGCAAGCCATAGCGAAGAGTGGAATACACGATGATTAGGAGGCGAGTTTAGTGTCACGCACCAGGGTTATACGGATCCCACGGACTGAGTCTGTTGTGGCCTAGGATCGGTCAAATTCACCTGCGAAGCATGGTGCGAAGCATGGCAACCAGGTCGTTTAGTTTAAAGCACAGTTGTGGTAGGTGTGAAGGATCCAAGGGTGTCACATCTCACGTTGGAGTGAATTCTGGCGAGTCACATATCACACATACTGTTGTGTCTTCTAAAAACACCCTTCTCCATGTTTTGTACAAGCTATAGTTACTGTTTTTGACGCCGCTGGGCAACGTGGCACGATGATTGGCGCCTGTCAGATACCGTTCCATTTTTAGGAACGAGCGACCCCAATGACCTATTGTAATGACTTCCGGTTACCTACATACATCATGTTGGCCTGCTTTGTAAACGATGGCGCGGGTTCGAGGGAGTGTAGGGACGGTGCGACTCTTGCGGTATCCTTAGCGATGTGCGACTGGTGGTAGTTGCGCGGCAACAAAGCGTCGGTACGCAGTACCGACGTACTGCTGATGCCTTTCTTGATATTTCCGCGACTTCGTTCGTTGTTGGAATCGAATCCGTGGTAGTTAGGTTGGTTACCTGTCGGCCGATGAGCAAGTGGTTTGCACACCTGGCTTTCATCGTCAAGTCAATGGTTCGAATCCGCATAGGAGCGGACGTCCTCATGGTGGTGGTCGCGCGGAGCGAAGCACCGTTACGGCGTACAGCCGACACATTACTTTCTTTGTTCGCCGTCCCATCTACCATCGTAGCCTTCCACGACTTGAAGACCACCTTCGAATTCATTCTATCAAGCCTGATTAAAAGTTAGGTTTGCGGAATTTCTGTCCCTCACGGTCGTCTAGTTAGGTACGGAATTGTCCTCTAAGGTTCCTCAGCATCTTTTATCTCTCTCGTTCTCTAAAACTTTGTGGTCCAGGTGTTTATGAATCAATCTGGACGGGTGTTTGGTACTGTCTGCCCATCCGTGCGTCCGCAACACTGCAACCCACCACCGGTTTTGTGCTCGTTTACACTTATCGGGTTCAGATAGCAAGGCTGCGCTTCTAACCTGGGCCCTTCGGATTGTTCGCCAAACCTCTGAGCCATCGACTCGTGCGGGAACGCTCGTCACAATGGTATACGAGAGATTGCAGGGATCATTTGCAAACAGGCCAAACCCACT